GTTCAGACACTTGTAAATTATCGAACAGTAAATACTCCTTATCAATTTTACATGCATTTTACTGTACATAAATAAAACACTCTCAACAACATGTAAGAATATCCAGCCATCGTTGTCAAATACTTGTTCTGCAAACTGATAGTCTTGTGCAAGCTTGCTTCATGCTGGACTTTCCTATTTGATTCATTAATGCCAGTACTGTTTGGAAGTGGAACTGCAGCCACTTCTGGGCAAGGACAGATGAGTGACAGGACAGGGGCACTTCAGGGGGCCAATCAGATTCCAGATGGGGCAAATGCCCCTGTGCCCCGCCCTTAGAATTGCCCCTGCATCAATTGTAGGTCGAAGATCCTTCCTCCTCATTTTGTTCTATTAAATTTATTTTATTTTTACTCTTGACTTTTTTTTCATCGTAACAATGAAAAAAGTAGATGGTTCACTTTATGGTGAAGTTGTTTGAATTGAGTAAATCTTATTCCTCTAAATGTTTTTATCTGACAAAGATACATAGTGTGTTGGTAGTGGTTCAGAACATTATTCAGTGTTACTTTAATATAAGGAAACTATATTTCTGAACTTCTTAGGATTCTAGTTTCCATTGATAAAAATGAAATTGAATTGAAGAAATTTTATAATTGATTAATTGAATATTAGATTCAGTTTTGTATTTTTTACTTTCTGATCATTACAGCTTTAAGGCCATAACATAATAAGAGTTGACGCGGTCCAGGCCGGGGCTTGGCCATCTGCTCCTCTCCACCCCGGGACAAATGGGTTTACCTCCTGGGTTCAGGCGTGGGCCGCCCTCTGTGTGGGGTGGGGGCATGCCCTGGACCTGGGAGGATATAGAGTGTGTATCGGGAGTGTGGTGTCTGCATTGTATGTCTTTGAATGAGTGGGTGCAAAGATGAGGGTGGGATTGTATGATTGTGTTTGTGTATGTATGTCAGGCTGGGACGTGGACTTCCCCTCCTCTGGTTCGTTTGTTGCCCCCATCCCATACCGCCCTCTGGTGGGGGTGCATTGCCCGCCAGTGCGCGGATGGCTCTTGGGGTCTGCGGCTGGGTGCTCGGGTGTGCGCTGGCTCGGCCTGGTGGCTGCCTGTTGGGGCTTGGGTCCTCTGGCCCTGTCGGCTCTCGGCTTGGGGGGTGGGGCTCACCCTTGGGGCCGGGCCCTCTGTGCCTATGCCCGTGCTTGCCCTAGCGCAGTGGGTGCCGGCCAGGGCCTGCGTGCTCGTCGCTGCGCGATGCTGTGGGGCTTCTGTTTGTGGTCGCTGGTGGGGTTCTCCTGGGTCTCCCCAATGGTTTGACCTGGGGGTGGGTGTGCGGCTCTCCTCGCGTAGATGTACCCGGGGGCCCGGTGCTTGGGGTTCCTCCTGGGGTCGTTGGTTCTGGCCTCCCCTTATGTCTGCCTCGTGCCTTGGGGGTTGGCTCTGAGACTCCCCCACAGTCACTATTATACATTCCGTTGAAGAAATCCTGTAAAGTTATGCTTGCTCACAACCACACGCAGACAGGTGTCCGAGGGGTTCTGAATGACCACCAGGTATATACAGTATAGGTGGGTGTTTGTTTATCTGTCTGAATGTACAGTGGGGAAAATAAGTATTTAGTCAGCCACCAATTGTGCATGTTCTCCCACTTAAAAAGATGAGAGAGGCCTGTAATTGACATCATAGGTAGACCTCAACTATGAGAGACAAAATGNATGGTGTGTGTGTTACCATGTGTTCTTTCTCTTAGCCTAAACAAAAATGAGTGACGTTCTGACATCTGGCATAAAAGGTAACACCTCCTGGGRTGTAACCAGGAAGAAACATACGTTATAAGCTGAATTAATTATTATAGTAAAAAGAAGTTGTCAGTGTTTTGCAGAGTGTCTGTTTGTTTTGGTTCAGCCGAAGGTCTGACTGAGGCCTGTGTTGCTGGGCACTGAATGTACCTGAATGGAGTCAGAAGATCAAAAATAAAGTTTTAAAGAAGAAATCCAGCCAATTTCTGTTTATTCATACATACCATTTTTAACAACACTTATTTGTCCAACAGACTAATGATTGATGTGTAAGATGATTTTACAAAAAATTAAATAAGATTTAGTCATTTTTCTTATTTCATCCAAATAGTAACACAGATTCAAATAATTCCTAGTCAAAAGGCCTGGTAATCTGACTTTCGGGCTGAGAAATGATGGAGTTATAGCCTTTTTGGTCCCTCAGACAACATCATGTCAAYACCGTGATACATTTGGATGTTCTGTTAGCATTTGGAATTCATGTTGTGAAAGACTTAGCAACCACCTCGCCTGATTTTAGTGAAATATCTGTAAATATCACTGAAGAGCTCATGGATTACTTTCAGAGACTCCATTAAAACCCATATGATTCATGAAATGTTTTGCTATTAGTACAGACACAACTATTATCACCCTATCTCTATATATATCTTATCTCTTTAGCAGTAGGTGATAAGTGTTTATTGATTCAGACTTTTAATCCTCTAATGGACTTCAGAACCACTTTAACGTTTGATTATCCTACWGTGTGAAATCGATTTAAACACGTCACTTCTTACAAAAATGATTGTATTCAGAGTGCAGGTAAAAAGCAGTTATGTGAGTTATTATTCTAAAAATATAACATGCATGTTCCTGTTTTGCTCATTTTTTTCATCCAACTTCTGTCTTTTTTAGCAGCTTTCAGCTCAGTCTGGACTAGAGATTTTTTTTCACTGTTTTCTTTGATTCACTAATCAGTGAACTAATGCTTCAAAGTAGGTTTGCTTTTTTTTCCAACCATAGCTTGTTCATTCACTCCAGGCCATTGCAAATGAGCTGTGTGGAAGTGTTAAAGAAGCAGGGGGGATTTTACAAGCAGGAGATCAACTTTGTGCATCAGCACATCAAGATAACAAAAAGTTGTCAAATAGCCTACACAAACATATTTTTAAAGCTTTTACTTGGGCTGGATTTTGATGACCTAATGTAACACTGAGCTGCACAGAATAAAACACGGGTTACAACAGAAGGGCGGTGGTTCTAGAGCTCAGCATAGCCTAAAGCAAGGCACTGAGCATCAAACTGCTGTGAAGAACATGGGAATGACAAGTGTGAATGAGCTTGAAATGTGTGCGGGGGGTGKGGGGGGGGTGGGCGTTCACAATACCATCCCTTTTATGGAAACCTCACAGACACGGGTCATCCCCGTCTTAAATCTTGGGAAAAAAATGGAGCAATCAGTGATTGTCAGCGATAAGGCTCAAAATCTTGTTTCTCATGACAACCAGTGACGACGTAGAGAATGTGCCATTCCCAGCTGATCCTCTGCGTTTACGGCGACAAAGGCAGAAGTAAACAATTATTTTAAATAGCTGACTCACTGTGTGAGTGAGGATCTGCTGAGGGTCAAACTTTTCTAAAAATAAAATTACAAATTGGAAGGTTTTCAAACACTAACCTGGGAAGAAGTGGCAGCTTGTGTATCCAAACTAATGATGCTGTAATTCTGCTCAAACTAAAGGCAACATGGAAAATAACTGTGAAGGAATTCATTTTACTGAATATATCAGTTTTCTCACGAGGACGTCATCAAGTCTACAAATTATCTTGTGATAAACAAACAACAGGTAAACAGATGTTTAAGAGTAGAGTACAATTTTTAGTTTTTTTTTTTTTTCGTGGGGGTAAATGATACTGAACTTACTGTATATAGTGATTTATCAAGTCCCTCCGGACCCCAAAGCGCTTTACACTTACAGACATTCACCCATTCACACTCACATTCACACACTGATGATAGTAAGCTACATTGTAGCCACAGCTGCCCTGGGGCACACTGACAGAGGCGAGACTGCCATATGCACCACCAGACTATCTGACTACCATCAGTAGGCAAGGCAGGTGTAGTGTCTTGCCCAAGGACACAACAACTGAGACGGGAAGGGATGAAGAAAAATGGAGGTTTGTTCTTTTAAAACAATAGCAGAAGMATTTTCACAAATAATTGCTCTTATCTTTATTCAGCACGTTTTAGACAACATAATACAAGTTTGTCATAAGTTTGTAATTTTTATAAAGCTGGATTTTTGACTTTGGATGAGTCTGTATGAGATTTATAACCTGCAAAGCACAAAAAGAGTGTTTAGTATTTGCAAAGCAAAGTGTAACAGTGGTTTGAGGTGTCGCCTCACAGCTAAGTTTGCTGGTTCAGTTCCCAGCCTTTCTCTTTTTGTGATGTTTGCATGTTGTCTCTGTTTTCTCCTGGTACTTTGTCTTCCTCCCACTGATCAAAAACCAGATGTGTTGGGTTAAGAGTGTGTCGGTTTGAGTGTTCCTGTGATGGATTTGGGACCGGTCCAGTGTGTTACCGTCTCTCACAGACTGCTGGAGTTACAGCAGCTGACTGAGGCCTGGAAAGTAGAAGAGATGATGTTTAATCTGTGCTTCAGTGCCCTCTTGTGATCAGCTCCTGTCAATTCACGTTTGCCGCCACAAAACTTTTTTTTTTCTCTTTGATAACTTACACTTTTCTGTGTATTGATTTGTCTGTAATACAGCAAATTCTGTTGCATTTTTCTGCAGCTTTCAATGAAAAGACTAAAAGTACTGAAAAAAATATTGAACCTAAAAATGAAAAATTATATGAATAAATACTATAAAATAGAGAATGGCAAATGTTTTGCACATTTTTAATTAATAAACCTCAAACTTTGCAATCATAAAGGTTTAGCTACACATTTTAAAGTCCTTTTTTAAAACTTTTTTCTTTCTCTTTCTTTCTTTGATGTTGCTGGTTGTGAAAAGTAACACAGTACAAGTAATCTCAAGCACGTAATTTACTTTATAAATACCAAATAATTTTCTACTGTAAATAAAATCGACATTCTTCTGATAATTTAGCCCACAGAACATATATAAAAGCCTACATTTAAGTTTAAAGAAGTCAGAAAATAACAACCACATAAATCTAAATTCTTCTTTTTGTAATAAAACAAGAATGCATTTTGTAGAATAAAATCTKTTTATTTTTTGTATCCATAATTCTCTTTCAAAAAAGCAAATAAATATCAGGTTTCTGACTGTAGATTAACTCCAAGGTGCTTCAGCTGTAACTTCTTGATTTGACTGTTATCTATTGTTCATTTTTCTCAGTGTTGATTCTGCTGTAATTCCATAGAAAAGCATTGTTGTTCAGCACACTGGACAATTCAGTGTTGAAGGGCAGGTAAAACCTGCTGAGGAGGTTTCTGGTGGCTGGAAGCATTGGACCGAGGTTCTTGTCTTTGACCCGCCGGGTGTTGGACATGGGCCGTTTGCTGAGAGCTGCCTCCACTTGCTCWGACAGAGGCCCTGTGAGGGAAAAGGCAAAGGAAACAAAATCAGAGGAATACAAGTTTTTTTCCCAGAAGTTTAGAAAGATGCTTACATTTAAACACATGCTGCAGAGTTTTTATACTTCTTAGATACATACCAACGCTGAGAAACTCAAAAACTGTCTTGATTGTGCTTTTGAGGTTGGCTGCGTAGTCCTCCAGTTTTAGAACTAAAATCTGCTCTCTGTGAAAAACTGTCAGCCAGTCCAGTAAGAAGACAAAGTACATTCCCAGAGTTAGTCTCACCTGTGACGAAAACAAACAATTAAATAAGTAAAACGAAACAACAGAAACTAATATATGAATCCAAATACCAAGGAGCTAAAGCCTAGAAAGGTTTCAACTTCAGTGGTCGTCTGCAGACATACATGATGGATTTATGAAGAAAACAAACACATACATTTAGCTTAAATTCATATTGTTTGTTTAAACTCAAAAATCTTCTGATTATTTTAGGACATGTAATGTAATATTTGCTTCTTTCAATTCAGTTTTTAGATGGTAAAAAAATGATTGCTCAAACGCAACAGCAAATTAAATCCACCAGAGGGCGGTAACACTACAAAATATGGTAAATATTTAAAACGCTTCTTATTTCCAGAGGCTGCAGCTGCAGTTAATACAAACACTTCACAGTACACGACTGTTTAATGGAAATGTGTTCTTTTAAGCCGTAAATTTAAAGAAAAACGCAAATTTCAATTTTATTATTTATTTTTTTCTGTTTTGTTTTCTTGAGAGTCACATTTTTTGTTGTGGACTAATCTTACACCACTAAGTCTTTAAAATACTTGCAACAAGCAGAAACACCTGTTTACAGTCTTTTCAAATACCGAATCCTAAATTAAACATGAAAACAAGCCAATTCTTTTGGGGGGAAWAAAGCAAATATAATTGGCCAGAAGAATGTGAGCTAACCGGCGTGGTGTAGAAGAGGCTGGTGTTGTAGATGCATGAACGGAGTGATCTCTCAGACAGGCAGGACTGAAACAACTGGACAGACTCTACAACCTTCTGATGGAAATCCTCTGCCGACTTGTTGGCAATGGTGAAGTACAAGTAGTCTGAGTAAAGCCTGGGAGCAGATTAAAACAGAGTTTAAAGCCAGTTGGGAGTAAGAAACTCCCAGAAAAACATTTTATTCTAAAGAAATATGTTCTGCAACATTGATGAATTACAGGAAAACCTGATTGTATTCTGCCTAAAATGAAAACCAGGAGAAAGAAAGGTTTGTTTTTACCTTTCCACTGGATCTCTGAGGATGATTATGATTTTAGCTCCAGGCTGGACTGTGTGGATGAAGTCCTGGGCCAGGAAAGGAGGCTCTGACTGCTTCAGGTCTGCATCGAGATAGCTCCAGGCTTGATTATCCCACATAGTGGAAGCACTGGCTTCACCTGCAAATACAGACAGACTTCATGTAAACCGAAAGTAACAGTTACTTAAAAACCCAATTTGTCTCAGGATGGGGTGCCAAGTGTCAAATTTGAATGAAAAAAAAAAAACATTGCACTTTCTTCAGTCTCAGTTTATTTAGCACATAGACTTCTTATAAGAAGATATATAAAAATCCAGATAAATGTAGTCAAATTCATACTAGATCATTTCAACTCATATGGAACAATGTTAAAAGTTAAAAATAATAAAAATCCTATTTGTGCCTTTTTTATTAAAATGAGTATGTAAATGCAATTCAGATAAGAAATTCTTCACAAGCATAGTTCACTTTTTAAATGCTAAAATATTTAATGCTTCTCAGGATCAGTCCATTCATMCATTATCTACACCCGCTTCTTTCCTTTCAGGGTCATGGGGGGTCGCTGCTGCCCATATCCAGCTGTCACAGCGCGAGAGGCGGGGTAAACCCTGGACAGGTCRCAAGTCCATCACARGGCTCAGGATTAGTCAATGTTTTTTAATATTTACCATTTGAATCAGAGGTGGAGCAAGAGGGGTGGCCGGGGTGTCAAGTGCCACTTATTGCCCAACCCAGAAACCACCCCTAAATAATTGACAAGTTGGTGGGAATTCTTGGATCTTGTATTTGCATTTATATTTTTTAACGATTCTTCTCTGATACTATTGCACAGTAGAAATTTCAGCTGCGAATGTTTAAAAATGGCTGAATTATAGCCCTTGGTAAAATTAGAATTTGCATAAATGTTATCGTAAGTTAGATAGTTTGTGATTAGTATTGGCAATTGGCATGTRATTATGTTTAGCTACTTCACAACAATTTTCATCTTAATAAGTCCTAAAATGCCTGAATAATAGCCATTTAAAATTAACTGGGGTGGCCATCTTGAATTTGTAATTAGAATTTAGAAATTGGTAAAGACTGTTTTTGGCTAGTTCTACTCTAATTTTCTGCTTTGTATATCTAATACGGATGCATAATAAGTTGTAACCAGCATTCAACATTTTTTTTAGATCATCCTTTTTTATGATCACACAAATTACAGCTCAATATTTCCTAAAATAGCTTAATTTTCTTTCTTAACCCCTGTGCCACTTCAAAGAAAATCTGGCTGTGCCCCTGGTTTGAACAGAAAAGCAAAAACAAATGAAAAAGGATGCAATCGATTGCATTCCCTTTTACAAAAAAAGACCTTTGAACAAACATTTTCACATCACATTATATGTTAAACGCCTTTTCCCTTCACCTCTTCCTCATTCTTCAAACACTTCAGTTTCTCTAACGTGCGAGGGCCGATTGTAAAATATTTACTAAAAACGAGACATCTTCTCTATCTGCTGAATCTAAAGCAGTTTTAATCTACTTTTGCATTTCATTTCTTGAGTAACTGGCTGACTTTGGTTCTGATGAAACTTTACACTGGGACTGTAAGACTGTGAAAAGTTCAGCTCTGGAAGAAAGATAAGCTTCATCAGTGACAGATGGGGACATTTGAAATATAATTTCTCCAAATCTGGCAAAATCTAATTATGATCATGAGATGCGAAAGTAGATTAAAGCTCTGCAATAAAATAGCACTGATTGCTCTATTTATTCACTTGGAGGATTTTCAAACCACGCAGCTGAATAAATACAGCAGCAACATGTTGTTTAGGGTCTTGCCAAAGTCAGGATCAAAACTACTTTAAGCTCTTTTTTACACAACCAACAAAAGCAATAAATCAGAACCCATCAAATAAATAGCATTCCATCACAGATTTGGACAAAATGCTGTTGGTTTTTCTTACCACTGCTCTAGGGGCAGAAATTGATCATCAGAGCTGTAACAACTTTATCTTAATGACACCTTTAAAAAGTTACAATAAGAAACAATGTGTTCCTGCAGGATTTCAYAGTTTTCTCCTTGTTAGCTGGATTAAAACCAACTTTCTTAAAAGTGTTTATTAGACACCTTTAACTCACAAAAAAAGGGAAATGTTTGAATAATATCTAATAATATGGTGTAAAAAATACAACCTTCCTGTTTTACTTAACTTCAAAAGCAAACATAATCTGAAATACTGTCAGACTCAAGTTTAATGTCCTAAAGAGACACACAAACACAGACTTTCCCATGTGTTCACCTGTTATAATGCGGAGCGCACGCTGGTCTCCAGAAGAATTTCCACTGATTCCTTCCTGGATGTTTTGAGCTGCCAAGTCAAACAGATCCAGGTAATCCTCGATGGGAAAACGTTCCTGGAAGCCTTGTTTGAAACGGATATAACCTGCCCAGAGAAGCAGCAAAAAAACCCTCATTATCATCTCATTGATGGGTTGCTTTGTTGTAACAATTCCTCAATAAAAAAAATCTGTTATATTTAAATGTCCGCTCAGACTAACCAAAAGGATTTTGGGTTAACTGAATACAGCTTTTAATTCGCAGCATGTGAAAGGATACAAATAAAGGTTTTTATGGAGACTTTATTTGTGAAGCACATGCAGAAGGTTTTATGTAGTCAGAAATGTTTTAAAACAGTTTCTGATTTTTTTTATGTAATATTTATTTATTTTTCAGCTTGATGTGTTGGAGAAGTTTTCTCCCAGCTGATTGTAACATTGTAGCCAAATGAAGCAAAGAATTCCTGATTAAATGATAAAGTTATTAACAGTTGGGAATTTGTTGAACTATGCTGCACTTTCACAAGTACTGTACATATTTGCACAATTGGAACCTGTTACAGTTTGTAGGCTATGTTGACAGTATAAAGGGTGTTGCAGTGGTGAAATTACGAAAATTTACTGATCATCTAATCCAGAGGTTCTCAAACTGAGGTCTTCAATAAATTGTAAATTTGGTTTTTATTTTTTAAAAAGTGCATGTGGGGAACAATGAACTAGTAAAACAAACATATTAAACCAAAGAAAAAATAATATTCCTGTTTAATTTAGGGGTTAAAATGACAGCATGTGGTTTATGAGTGGGTCCCTGGAAATTTTTCACCCCTGTAAGCTGTCCCCAACCCAAAATGCTTTTGAGATGCCCTGATCTAAACACCTGATCCTGTCATTGTTACTCTCTCTCTCTCTCTCTCTCTCTCTCTCTCTCTCTCTCTCTCTCTCTCTCTCTCT